TTACATTGGATATTTAATATCCAATTAATGGTGTTTTTTTTTTTAAATATTTATTTGAGAGAGAGAGAGGTGCACAAGCAAGCAGGGAGAGGGGCAAAGGGACAGACCTCTTTCAAGCACACCAGGCCCTGGGCTCAGAGCCTGAGGCTGGGCTCAATCCTAATACCCATGCGCTCATGACCTGAGCAGAAACCAAGAGTCAGACACTTAACTGATTTGAGCCACCCAGACATCCCTCAATAAATGGTGTTGAAACAACTGGTGAGTTGTGTTGAGAGAAAAAAAAGTGGTAGAGCTACCTCAATATTTTCATCAAAATTATTCCAGAAGGGTTAAAGCATTAAATGAAACTATAAGAGTCCTGTAAGAAAATATGAGCAATTTTCAAAAATGATCTTGATGTGGACAGGTCTTTGTAAGCCAAATACCCAAAATCTATTATGGGAGAAAAAAGGATAAATGTGACTGTATTAACATAAAAATTCTGCAGGGACAAAGAATGAAAAAAAATCAAAAGAGAAAATGTTTCAACATACACAACATTTTTCTTTAATTCAAAGACAGTGATTATCATTACTAATCAATTAGAAAAAGATGTTCCTAACCTAAATGCCCATGATAAGAAGCTGATGCAAAAATTATGGTATATCCGTTTCATATATGTTAAAACAAAGTATACTAAATGAAAGGTGATAATGATAGAATAGTAGTAACATTAATAAAGCTATAGACATTTTCAGGTAAAGTGTGGTTATCTTTGAAGGCAGAATTGTTTTAAAATAATTTTTAGGCTTTTCAGTATATTTTCCAAATTTTCTATAATGAATATATTTTATAATCAAAATATATAATAAAACAGTGATAAAGTGACAATTTTCAGTGAAGCATAGTGCAAAGAAAATATACTTCATCACCTTAGCTTACATAACTCATGAGCACAAGTGAGTAAAACACTTGCAAACAGTAACTTTTATCAGCACTACAAGAGAAAAACAGCTTCATTATGTTTAATTTTTTCTTTATAGGGATCCCTGGGTGGCGCAGCGGTTTAGCGCCTGCCTTTGGCCCAGGGCGCGATCCTGGAGACCCAGGATCGAATCCCACATCAGGCTCCCGGTGCATGGAGCCTGCTTCTCCCTCTGCCTATGTCTCTGCCTCTCTCTCTCATTCTGTGTGACTATCATAAATAAATAAAAATAAAAAAAATTTTTTTTCTTTATAAATCCATGTGTCACACAAAAATTTAAAAAAGTAATCCAGGAGACTTCATATTAATGTGTTTTTGAAAATTCTTAACTCTAGGCTACTTTATTCAAGTGATAAAATTTTGTAAGGTACCATACCACAACAAATCACATTTTTACAGCACCATAATGAAGGCACATCTGGTACAAGTTGATGTAAACTCTCCTACTTCTGAGCTGGAGGCAAAACACACACTTGGATTGGTTCTCCAAGGATGTTTTTCCCCCAAGTAAATATTAGCTTCAGTGAAGAGTTCTAGTAATTTTCCCACTCTCTAAAAGCTATCTCTCTCACACGCACAAATCATAAGGACTAAACTACATAGCAATAAGCAAAGATGCTTTAGAGAATTTGTTTTGTTCTGCATCTCTTAAAGAAAAATATACTTCTAAATGCTATGTATTTTAATACTTAAATATTTCATTTTAATTTAAAAAATACTCTTCAAAAACCACAAAACAACATGTGAAGCAATCCACAAGTGTACTGAAATTATTACACTGATGGTTGTCCTAATGCATGCACTAGTGGGCACAAACACCTACCTCAAAGGAGGGTTTACACTTTTTCTCAAGAGCCTGCAATTCCTTTTCAAATTTGGCTCCTATCTTATCACATTATCCCTTAAGTTTTTTGAGGACAAGGGCACCAGTACCTCTAGACTCCGACATAACGGATAATTGGCATAACGGATAATTGGCATCATTTGACGATCTGTATTGTCACTTTGTCCACTTAGATCGAGGTTCTTCATTACCTTTTCCGCGGTTCCAGCTACTGCTTAAGAGGAGAAGGAAGGAGAGTGGAGGGAGAGGGGGTCCTCCTTAGTCCGGTTAGGAGCAGGAATGAAGGCAGCTGGCTTCAGCCTTGAATTACAGCAAAAGGAAAAGAGCTTGCCAGAAGAAGTAGAAGACTGAGCAAAACTCTTCTCTTGCCTCAGCCTCCTGCTCCTGAGTTCCAAGCCCAGTCGGCTCCTCCTTCTGGCACTAGTCATTGGCTGGCTAAGTATGATGGACAAAACAGCAGCCAACGAATGTGCCAGAGGTTTCTATGCTCTAGCCACCTTCACAAGCCAAAGCGGTAGAAGCACTACCACAAACAGCCTGCATTTCCGGAATTCCTGCTTTACTGAAGGAAAAATCTTTGACACCCACTTTGCCCCTCCCTTTCTCCCACCCTCCCACCTACGCCTTAAACAGGAAAGGTAAAAATACCTAAACACTGTCTTTCCGCTTTGCTTCTTACACCCACCCAGCTCTAATTAACCTTTAGATTTAAGCCAAGAAGTTGTGATAAAACCTGTTCAAGAGACGACTGGGAGGAAATAAACCAATCTACAAACAGGATATCTTCCTGTAGTGTGCTTCTTAATGATTTTTATATTCTGCATTTCTGCTTCTTTTTTGCAAATATTCTGAGATGCGTTCCTTTAATATTGGAAAATACAGAATGGGAAGGGGGTAAATTACTTCACTAAGTGTTCTAAGATGCGATGACGGTTTTGCACTCCAGGTTTTACAGGCTCTGCTGTGTTGTCTGGCAAGCACAGTATGTATTTGATTTGGGAATGTCTGCAGCAGTGATCCATGTACACCATATTTACTGTAGTCTTCACTTTGGTCCTGCTACATAATTAAATCTGCTCCCATACCCTTTCTTGATGAATACAGATATCTCAGGAATAAAACAAAGGCACTGTCAAAATTGCAGTGGTGTTGCTAAAAGCAGTAATTTGCTTCCTGGTTTTGTATAAATCCTAACAACCTAAATATGCAAACATACATCATTGGTTATAGTGTCATGGATTGTAATATTTTGACACATAGATATGGGGCTGGGCTATCACTAAACAGGGATAAAAGCAAGATATCAAACCATGTATCATGGTATTTGGAAAGACTATTAGATTAATTTTATGCCTAGAAACCCAGAAATCCCCAAATCCTCCTGCCACACCTTTTTCCTTCAGGTTTTGAAGGAAAATGTATGTGGATGGAGAAATGGCAAATGTAAAATAAAATACTACTTACTATTTATTGTGCCTCTGCTTCTGTGCCCTGTGCAAAGCTCTCTGGTAAGCTGAGTTTTAAGGGGCCTCCTCGTCACACAAATTTCAACCCAAAAATCTAAGGATCACCCTGTAACCAGTTGCATGGTGCTGAAGAGGTGAAAGTCTGACGCCACTTATTAAAAAAAAATGCCACATCTGGGAGTGTGACCTCCTCCCAAGTCAGGCCTGCCTGAGTCACTTGCTCATCCTAGGTCATTTACCCCTCCTACTCTTGTAAGTGAAAGCAAGGGCTTATATAGATGTCCTTTTTGGTAAGGCATTCCTTCTCTCTTACCCCTTCTGCCCCATCCCCACTCCTCCCCACATCCATTCTACTCCTCCCCACCCTCCTCCCTTTTCCCTCCTGCCCTTTCCCTTCCTCCCCTACCTTTCCCTTCCTTCTGCCTCCCACCCTGCTTCTTTCCCTCTTCCTTCTCCTTTTCCCTCCCTCTCTCTCCTCCCTTTCTTCTCTCCCTTAGCCTTCCTGCCTTGTTCCATTTCTCTCTAATCACTTAAATGTGTATCCTCCAAAGAAGAACTAATATCTGGGAAACAGGGACACCTGGGTGGCTCAGTGGTTGAGCGGCTGCCTTCAGCTCAGAGTGTGATCCGGGATCTGGGATTGAGTCCCATATCAGGTTCCTTGCAGGAAGCCTGCCTCTCTCTCTCTGTGTGTGTGTCTCTCATGAATAAATAAATAAAATCTTTAAAGAAAAAGATCTGGGAAACATATCAGAATGTTAATAATAGTTATAAATTCCTTTTAAATTTTCCTTTTCCTCAGTATTTTCTACTTTTTCTAGAAGACCCACTTTTTTATAATTAGGAAAAATGTTAGATTTTTTATAGCATGATACACTTTGACATTTATTTTAGAATGCAACAGAACATGAAAAAATATCAAATGATATAGTGATCATCTCAGTGAAAGACAAAATAGAACATATTATAAAGAAAATGTGGTTAGTAACTTTAGTTTACAATTACACAGTATAAGATGAGGAAACTTAAAAAATACTATGTCATATTAACACTTCAGTGGTAAACAATAACTTCATTATTATTAATTTATAGATCACTATGTCACATAAATAAGTTCAGTCATATCATATGTGGTCTTGATGGACATTCTTAAATTTATGCTAATCTTTTTTCAAGCAGTCATATTTCACTATTTAGCTGTTCTAATTAATGTAAGTACTGTATTTCTATAGCAAAGTAATGAAGGCACAGCTAGTACAAGCGAATTTAAACCTTTAGTTTTCTGGGCTGGAAAAGAAAAACCACTTGCATTGGTACTTCAAAAACTTTTTTTCAAGCAAATATTTGTCTCTATTGACAATTATGAGTTTTCACAGCTACATTCTAATAGGAACATGACAAAAGGACTTCACAAAAATCAAAACTCTGTAGCACCAAACTAGCATGCTTTAGATAACTGGCAGCATTTACATATTTGAAGAATATTACACTACAATAAGCTAAACTGATACTTAGACTCTGTAAGACATTTTTTAGACTACCAAGAAAATATGAAAACACAAGACTGTAAGGAATGCTTGTGTTGAGTTTATAAAGAAGCCACCCTGCCCTTCCACCACCAAGCCCCCCCCCCTTCCGCATCTCACATGAGCCTATATAAACCTGCTTTACTTCTGCTTGAGGTTTCGAGATGCTTGAAAATTTCTTCAGGCTGCCTATTTTTTTATTTTCGATATTTCCTGTTTCCATAATCTTTACCATCATCATAGGTACCTTTGACTTCTCCTGTATAGTAATAGATTGATTTCAGGATGACGTTATCATGTAAAATTTGACCAATTTCAAAATCTTCATCCAGGATGGCATCTTCTCGTGGTTCTAGCTTTCCAATCTTAGGAATCTCAGGAGGGCTAAAGAAATTGAAGAATGATGCATTAGGAACCACTCTTGGCTGAATTTCAATTTCTCCACTAGCAGTTGCGCGGCTCTGGGTGGTTGTCACGGTAACATCCTTTCCTCTTCTCCAGTCGATTTTACAGCCTTTGCAATCTTGGATTTCCCATCCCCAAGAGAAGAAGGGATCGTTGTGATCTGGTTTTGACTTTATTATATATGTCTTGGTCAGCATCTCATTTCTGAAGTATGGATTAGGTAGAAAATAAAATTCAAACGTGTAGCTTATAGGCTGGCCAGGTTTTGAGAACTTTAGGCTAATATCTGACAAGAACTTCAAAATGGGGGCATCATACTTCTGAATCATGGGCCCAAGCTTGTCGACATTCTTTAAAACAGTCAGCCAATAGTCAGGAATGCCTTTAGGATCTTCTTTTTTAGGTTTTCCCTTACGAACTCTTTTAAGATTTACTCTTTGTTTAGGCCTGACCTCAGAAATTCTTTTAGGAGCCTCTATTACAGCAGCCTTTGCCTTAGCCTCTGCTGCTTTAGGCTGTTTTTGATCTTCTGCATTTTGCTGGGGGACTACTTCAGGCTCTTCTTTCACTTCAGGCTTTATACCCAGAAAATCTTTAGACTCTGCGTTTTCTTCAGTCTTTGCCTCAGGAATTTCTTTTGGTACCTCGTTTTCTTCAGCCTTTACCTGAGGTTTTTCCTTAGGGTTATCATCTTCCTCCTCACTTTCTAAGGCAGGCATTTCAATAGGGCTGTCTTCCTGCACCTCGTCATCACTGCTGAACACCTCATCCTCTGAATTCCATTCATATTCTTCTGTAGGTTCATATTCTGCATTGATTATTTGAAATCGCCAATCGTATAGAGGCTTATTGAGTTCGGCATATTTTCTTTCGAGATCGTGAATTGCCTTTAAGAACAGGATGTCAACCTTGTCACATTCATCTTGAATATTTCTGAGCGCCTGCACACGATTTCTAACTGCCTGAGGCAGCCGATCCACAAAACTTTTACCCAGCGGAGCCCCCCGTGCTCTTCTGGAAGGCCCAGATACCCTCTTCTTTCTATATAAGTGGCTGCGGCCACTGCTGCTGCTGCAACTAGTGCTGCTGCTAGAGCCATTGCTGTCCGAATCTTCCCCAGAATCACTAGACGAGCTAGCCATCTTCTCTTCAGTAACCCTTTGGGCGGCAGGTTCCGAGACCATGTTAAGATTCTTTTCTGCCATTTTGCAAACCTGCAAACCTCTTAATGTGGTGACTACCACTGAGACCGCGCGCTCAGAGATGGGCAGAAAATGACTCACGTATGCTTGGGTAGCAGCAGAGGCTGGGGCTGAGGAGGTTGCATCAGCGAAGGTAACAGCGCAGGGCGGGGCTGGGTTGGGCTGCGGTGATCGCGCAGACGTGGAAGCCACAATAGAGGCCTGGGCAAGAGTGGCGGTGGCAAGGCCTCTCACTGCAGCTGCGACGGACAGAGGCGTGCTGCACCTAATGGCACAGTGTAAGACTTCAAAATCTCTTCAGCGTTTAGATCGCCAGCCCCCACCCTTGCAGTCAGAACTGCCGTTAATTTAGTTCCCAGTGTGCCCTTAGATCGCGCCTCATTTGCTGGGCAAATTTGATTGACAAGCTCTAAGCCTAATGAATGACGGAACGCACCAGCCGTCCTCCAGGCTCCACCCACCTTCCCAGACGCTCCTTGGTAGCTGAGGCACACACCATTGGAAAACCTTTATTTCCCCTGAAAATTCTATCTTTATAGTTATATAAATCAAAAACAAGCTTAAATATGAGGTAAAAATATTAGTCATTGTTCCTAACAAGGGAAGAGGAGTATTTTTCTCCCATAATCTCATCCTGAATTCCCGTTTGGTTTTTCAGGAGCCTCTTAACAAAAATCTGTTTCTAAAAAATTGGATGAAAATACTCCAAATGGCATCATTGGGTAGATTATGGGTGATTTTTTTTGAAAAAAAAAATCTCTTTATCTAAATATCCTTGAGCTTTATTTCTATACTAGAGAAAAAAGGGGAGTCGTTTACTGGCAAAGGGGGAAGGTGCAAAAAGCAGGCAGAATGCATTCACGTGTCAGTTTTAATAAGTACTAGCTGTCGTGTTTGACAAGCCTGGTTTATATCCATCGACAGGGGTTGTGAACTCATGTTTCCATGAGTCAGTTACACCATTTTTGCTATATTTCTCTTTTTAAACTGTCATATAATATACCCAAATCTTGCTGCTGACTTGCCACTAGCTTTTCTCAATGCTTGCAACAAACTTGTAGGTGAAGTACAAGGGCATTCAAAAGTTAGGTAGTATTATTTAAAAGCAGACGGCTTGCTCTATACTTCTGTGTTGCAGTTTTCAATTCCATGAACAGCAGGCTGGGAGGGGGAATTTGTGCTGATGAAAGTGCACCCTCTGTCAGGTTATACTTTACAATGTCATCTGCCACCAATTTCCTTCTAACATTGTAATATTCCAGCCACACTAAAGTATGATTTGCAAGTCCAGGAATATGTCCATAAACTTTTGTTAAAAGAAGTTTAAAAACAGGTATCTGTTATTTTTATTTACAGGATTCTTTTCTGCTACGGAACACCACCAAAAGACCAGTGTTTACTTTTCATTAAAGGTAAGAAACATATTTAGACCATTTTTATGAATGACAAGAATTACCTATCTGTATTTGAATAAAAATTCACAGGTTCTATTACAGTCTTTTAAAAATTTAGTTAGGAGATATCTTGATATTTCTGTGGAAGCAAAAAGACCCATAGAGATGATTTGATATATTAATGTATAAAATAGCCTGATTAATTACATTCAGTGTCTAAACCGGCTCATAGAATATAAGCAATAAATTAAAATATAAAATACGATGAATCATCACTTCAAATGAGGAAAAATATCAAAGTTTGATTAACATTTGTGTTACCTCTTATTATAGAATTTGTGCTTTGTCATTTAGTCATATATTTTTAAAAAGAGAACACTTTTCTATTTTGTAAATAAATTTACTTTTATTGTTTATTTCTAATTTTCAAGATATATTAGCATCGTAAAGAAAAAATATAGAAAATTACAATGATGGTAAAAAACATAATCTTAAGAACCAAATGATAACCATTGTTAGCATTTTGATACATTTCCGTCAAGAAATTTCTTTGCGCATCTACACACTGGCTTGTTTATATAAACTGTTCTCTAAATAAAACATATGTTTATAATCTGCTCACTTATCAGTTGTAGCTATATTTTCATGGTAAATGATCAACATCTAATTTTAAAATAGATACATATTCCATGGTTGGCGTAACTTATTTAACCAGATTTCTGTTGTAGAGCAGCTCCTTTCCACACCATTTCTCCACTAGCATATACTTTTTTTTCCATTATAAAAAAATTATCCCTGGATACCTACTATATGCATTTGTGAAAATTAGTCCTAAGATGAATTCCTAGAAATGGGAGTGTTGGAAAAAAAAATGTGTGTTCATTTTATTCTTTGACACATATTGCCAAACTTCTCCCCGGAAAAGTTATCACAATTTACAGTCCTACCAACAATGCCTAAGAGTCATTTATTTAGTCATTCAACTGGTTATGTTTTTGTGCCAGGCACATGTGGTAGAGGATGGTAATATGATGGTGAATAAAACTTAACTATGTGTGTATTCTTTCATTTCATAATTTTAATCAAAACATATACTATGGAAACAAGAATTTAAATCAGTGAGGTTATGCCATAAATATTGTTCTGCAACTTTATTATTTTCATTTAAAATGATAGATATACTTTTTTTGTAATGAATGCTCTTATATTTTGATAGTACTATAGTGGTTTCATTTTGTACCATCAGTAAATAGTATTTTGGAGTAAGCAATGACTTACTGATTCAGATATTTTTTAAAATATATTTTTATTAGCTAGCTACTTTTTTGTACTGTTTATTTGATAGTCTCTCTGTCTCACACTTATTTGAAATACCACTTTATCATATTAATGAAACTCCTTGGTTCTGTTCTGAATTCTTTTTTTTTTAAGATTCTATTCATTTATTCATGAGAGACACCCACAGAAAGAGGAGAGAGAGAGAGAGAGAGAGAGAGAGAGAGAGAGAGAGAGAAGCAGGCCTCATGCACCCGGAGCCCCGATGTGGGATTCGATCCCTGGTCTCCAGGATCGCGCCCTGGGCCAAAGGCAGGCGCTAAACCGCCGCGCCACCTAGGGATCCCGTAATGACAATTTTTTTTAAATAGTTTTTTTTTTTTTTTTTTTTTTTTTTTTTTTATGATAGTCACACAGAGAGAGAGAGAGAGGCAGAGACACAGGCAGAGGGAGAAGCAGGCTCCATGCACCGGGAGCCTGACGTGGGATTCGATCCAGGGTCTCCAGGATTGTGCCCTGGGCCAAAGGCAGGCGCCAAACCGCTGCGCCACCCAGGGATCCCCTGTAATGGCAATTTTTAAATAACGTTTTATTTTGTGAAAATGATATGCATTGAAAAAAAGGTTAGATAATGCATTGAAATCCAAACAAGAAAATAACTAAAAACACAGTGAGAGGTAATGTCACAATATTCACATCTTTAATGAACATCCCCAAATTAATTTCTTATCATTATATATTTGTATTTCTTATCTTAGCAGTAAGAGTGAATGTCTTTTCATATTTTTATTGTTCATTTGAGAATTGCCTATTTATACCTTTTGCTTGCTTTTCCACTGAATTAGAAAGAAATTAATTGGTATTGCAATCCTACAGGTAAAATAATTTTGGCTTTAAGACAACTGTGACTCCTTTAAAAAATACATCTGCTGTGATTTATAATACTGGCGAAAGGCAACTTAACTACATCTTTTGTTTTAAGTTACCTAATTTCATTTTAAATTGTCATCAAAACAATGCTTTTCAAGGATTAGTACTTAATCACACTGATACAAAAAGTTTGAAATGAAACAGGGAGAATAAAAAGAGAAAATTTTGTAAAAAAAAAACCCTCATACAGAGACATTAATGATCTATTTTGATTTTTCAATTCATATTTTTCCCAGCCAAAGATTATAGGTGACTTTGGGGGATCCCTGGATGGTTCAGCGGGTTAGCACCTGCCTTGGGCCCAGGGTGTGATCCTGGGGTCTTGGGATCGATTGAGTCCCACATCAGGCTCCTTACATGGAGCCTGCTTCTCTCTCTGCCCGTGTCTCTGCTTCTCTCTCTCTCTCTCTCTCTGTGTGTGTGTGTGCGTTTCTCATGAATAAATAAATAAAATCTTTAAAAAAAAGATTATAGGTGACTTCTAACTACAGTGCTCTACTTTTGATGTGTATATACTACCTTAGGTATCTTGTAACATACTTTTATTTTTGTAGCTTTTCTTGGTCTATTAGTTAACTTAATTTTATTATGGCAGTTTTCTAAAAGAAAATAATTATTTTCTTTATATAATTAATTTAATTTATGCACTATATTATATTTTCTACTGTGAATATTTTTATAAGTATAATTTCTGGCATATAAAATGCTTATTTTTCTTCAAAGGCTGTCTTTAAATTACTTGCATAGTGATATGTTCTCTGTTTTATTATTTTATAATATTCTTTTTTGGGGTCAAATGTTCGTACTTCTACATGAGATGATGCTTAACACAGAATCTGTTGATAGATTCTGGCTGACCATGGCTATTTGACATGTGTTTATACCTTTCCTGTTATGAACCTATATACAATCCCAACTACCACCAGGTCACACAAACACATGTACATAAAACTCAATAATTGCTACAGTATTATCTTTGTTGTAGATATTTAAGCCAAACACTGAAATTTCATTTATTTGTGGTGTTTTTCTTTTTTTGTTGTTATTCACCTAGATGGGATTTATCTGAATACACAAGATAATTTTTTTTTAAATTTTGTTTATTTGAGAGAGAGAGTGCACATGAGCAGGGGGAGGGGCAGAGGGAGAAGCAGGCTTCCTGCTGAGCAGGAAGCCAGACTCTGGACTCTGGGGTTCAATTCCAGGATCCCAGGATCATGACCTGAGCTGAATGCAGACACTTAACCAACTGAGCCACCCAAGTGCCCCAACTTAACAATTTTATTAAAGTACAATATATACAACTGTACATAAAGTACATCAAAACATTATGATGTTTTAATAAATCTATATATATGCAGAGTTATCACCCATAGACAAGATAATGAAAATTCGTATTACCCC